GTGACCCCCACCCTTGAGATATTTGTAGGTGTTGATGAGATCCCCTCTCAGCCTTCTCTTCTCCAGGCTGAACAAGCCCAGCTCCCTCAGCCTTTCCTCGTTGGGGAGATGCTCCAGTCCCCCCGTCATCCTTGTTGCTCTCCTCTGGACTCTCTCCAGGAGTTCCTCATCCTTCTTGAACTGGGGAGGCCAGAACTGGACCCAGTGCCCCAGGTGGGGTCTCACTGGGGCAGAGCAGAGGGGGAGGAGAACCTCCCTCGCCCTGCTGGCCACGCTGCTCTTGATGCACCCCAGGATGCCGTTTGCCTTCTTGGCAATGCCGCCCTCTGCAGAAGAGTTTACTCCTGGAAGCCTTTTGGCCAGCTCTAACAGCAGCTGCGCTGCGTCCTGAATCTGTTGATATTAAAGAACAATATTGCGTACTGGTGCCTCTGCCACCTGCTTCAACTCACACGCTTATTTCTGCCACTCACTGCTTCCCCTCTTGGACCTCTCCTTGGGGATGACCTTAGGCACGTGCTCAGCTCCGAGCACAACCGCAGAGCCGCTAGAATGAGTGCATCTGCCCAGAGGTGGCCCGAGTCTGAGCGCAGTCCCAAGAAGGGACCCTTTAATAAGTCCCCGGGAGTCTTGCGCCATCATCATCATCGGCGTGGAGCTAGCGGGAGGTGGGATGTCCCCAGCTGGGTGCTGCAGAAATGCAAACCAAAAGACCTGCTCCCAGTTTGCTTCCAAACCAAGCATAAATGCTGGAAAACAGGTAGGGATTGGCAATAACGGGGCAGTGCTGGCTGCCTGCGGCGCCACTGCGCTCCCCCCCTGGCACCTCGCTCCGGGCGGCGTTGCTCCAGCGGGTGGTCCCAGCACCCAGGGGATCCTCGCTCAGGAGCGATGCATTCCCGCAGCCACCCATGTTTTCACCTGCAGTTTAGCAGGCAGCTTGGTTGGGGTGGGCTCTGTGCCACCCTACCGGAGGAGCGCGCCTCACCCGTCCTTCTGCTCTGCTGGGTTCCCAGGGACAGCGTTACGCAGCCCAGGAGGCTGCCTGAGGCTCACAGCCCTCCCGCTGCTCTGCTCCTTGGGCGGACGTGGCGGCCAGGCCGGGGCGCAGGCTGCAGCGGCAAAAGTCCCCGAGTCAATGAATCACTAGCTCAGCAGTTAATGCCCAGAGGGGCGTGCATAATGGGGTGTTAGCCGGCTGATCGGGAGGATTTATATTTCTAACGTCGTTAAATGTTAGCTTAGTAACTCGCGCAAGGCGTGGGACTGGACCTGCTGCGCTTAGTATTTAATTTCCCACTCTTGAGAGGCCCATGTTTTTAGCTCAGCTGATGCGTCAGGCTATTTGCAGGCTTGTTTGGCCTGCAGGGACCCTTTCCTGGGGAGGAGGAAGAGGGTTTGACTGCAGTTTTTTCATGGCATCCACGCAGTGCCTGCAAAAAGCAAATGAAACCTCAAAAACGTTGGGAGATGCGTTGAAGCCAGTGGGGCCACGGCAAGAAACGCTCCCCCATCCCCAGGGAACGCGTGGCCAGGCTTTTCACCACGGCTCCCACCGCCAGCAAAGCCCTGGCTGCTCCCGGCTCAGGTGCCGCGCTGCCGTTCAGTTTTATTGCTGTCTACGAACAACGGTGCTTTATTAATTGTTCTGCATCTGCAGAGCTCAGTGGGTAACAAATGAGAGTAGCAAAGCTTAATGATTTTACTTCACCTCACCTCCATCACCATAATGTCTTAGCAATCGTTAGTTAATTCATAAAACCCCCACTGCTCCGGCGGGCAGATGATAAATAGCACATCCTTGTAAGCTGTCCTGCCTAAAATTGGGTGGAACTCAGCATCCAGGGCAGTGTTACTGGCTGGCTGGTTTGCTCTCGTGTGTTAGAGGTCCCTGCTGGTTCCCAACGGTCCCCGAGAGCTCGCCCGAAGGGTGGCGGCGGTCGGGAAGCTGCTGATCGTGGTTCCCCTGGCCCCCCCGCACCGTCTGCTCGGGGTCTCTGCAGGCTGCTAGGGGAGGAACAGTGGTCCGGTAACCCCATTGCTCCATCCTAAAACCAGAAATATCCTGCTCCATCCTAAAACCAGGACAAAATCAGCTAAAAAGCTTATTGCAGGGATATCTGCTGGTGTCTGTCTCAGACCTCCCGAATCCCCCTCCAAAGCTAAAAGGGGACCTGGTCCCAAAGCACTTGGGCCGAGGGTAGAACTCACACCGGAGGGACAGGTCCCCGCGTGCCCCGGGCTGGCTCACGAGCGGCCCTGGGAACCCCGCTGGGATCCGGGACCAGGCCATGAACTTTGCAGAAGTTCCTGTGGTGATGAGTGTGGGGGAGTGAGGAAGCGCTGGGGCCGCTCCGGGGACAGCCCGGAGGTCTGCAGGGGTTGCGCAGTCCCCACCCAATTAGCGCAGTCGTAGGAAATAACACCCAGGGAAAATGAACTGGTGATGTCCCCGGTGCTCTTCGCCGCCTGTGTCGGGGTGTGAGCACCCCCACCCGTGCCCGGCGGTGCCCCAGGGCACTCTCTGGGTGCCGAATAAACGCCCAGGCTCTGTCCGAGATGGATCCCGCTGCTGGCGCAGGAGGTGGGCGAGTTGGCTGGGTCATGGCCCCATTGGTTCAGCTGGGTTTGGTGAGGTAGAGATGGACCGGGGGGATGCAGGGGTCCATGCAGCACTGACTGTGTGGAATGCAAGCAGTTCCTGGCAGCGGTTCTGGCTGCTTTATGCCGGGCTCCCGGCGTGAGCGTGGCGGGAGGACGCCGGGCAATGTGTTCCCCAGGGGGACGGGCGCCGCCCGCTCCTCCTGATCTGTTCTAGGCACAGCGTGGGTGTGCAGGGGTTTCACATGGCGTGAGTTTGGGCTTGAGTTCTTCTAACACCGTGCCTCTGAGCACTCCAGGTGGGAGCTCGGGCAGAAGTTTGCCTGCGACTTTTCAGTATTCTCTAAAACAGCAGTCCCCAGTGCCGGGGGGTTCAGAGGGTTTCGTTATTTATTTTGCATGGGCTCAACGGCATCTGGCAATCTAGAAGCAGCTCCGAGCCCCGGTTCATGCTGCATGGACATAGTGCGTAAGGTGGCAGCTCCTGGCACCCGGCTGGTTACGCCCCATGGCACTGTGACCCCTCCTTTAGACCCTGGACATTTTGATAATGCCCTGTGCATTTGTCTCTGTGCGTATCTGACCACAACACTTCTCCAGACACCCAGGTGATCGGATGCTGCTGCCTGGGGTTCTTTTGAAGCAGAGCCTTTGGGATGAAAGGGGCTCTGCCCTGCCTCCCACTCACCTTGCTCTGGGTGGGTGGAGTGAGCTCACGTGGGTACAGACAGACCCTTTGTAGGGCTTGATACCGGCAGGCAAAGTCCCAAGAAGGGCAGGACTGAACCAAGCTCCCCGTGCCCTGATTTCACGGGTAGCTTTTGCCACAGCCGGGTGTCCCAGGGCACGATGGGCGATGCCCGTGCCTCCTTTGCAGCAGGCGTGGGAGAGTAGAGAATTTTCCTTAATGTACTTCCAACCCTGAAGGTTTCTCAAACGCAGCACAGATGGTGGTCATGTCCAAGTATGACAAGCAGGAAAGCATTTAGACAATCACGGTTTCAGGAGTGAACCTCCTGTGTATTTTGCTCTGGTTCCCAGCAGCTGCAGGCAGTTGCAGGCAGAGGACTCCTTGTTTGAGACTCAAACAGCAGAAAGGACAGTACCTGGATGAAATGAAGGGACCTGGATGAGTGGAACCCTGATGGAGCAAACTGCCCAATATTTAACACTTCCAGAGAAAAGGTGGTTCAGAAGTTTAAGTGTCTGTGCCATGAGCAATGCCAACCATGAGTTCAGCTCCCCTTTGTATTCCAGGTGTAGCTTAGCTGCCCCTGGAGTTACACAGCTCTGGCAAGCAAGAAATGATGTGAGATGTTGCATCTGGCCATGCCAGCAGCCAACCTGTCAGGATCCCACCCCATGTTCTTCATCTTGGTGGGGATACCTGGGATGGAGAAGTCTCACACCTGGATCTCCATCCCTGTCTGCATGATGTACTCTGCTGCCCTTCTCGGGAACGTGGTCCTGCTGGTCACCATCATGAAGGACCACAGCCTCCATGAGCCCATGTGCATCTTCCTGTGCATGCTGGCAGTGTGCGACCTGCTGTTGTCCACTGCCACTGTGCCCAAGACCCTCAGCGTTCTCTGGTCTGTCTCCACCAAAATCTCTTTCAGTGGCTGCCTGGTGCAGAAGTTCTCCATCTATTTTGTTTTTGTGGCGGAGTCAGCCATTTTACTGGCAATGGCCTTCGATCGGTACATCGCCATTTGTGACCCCCTGCAATACCCAGCCATCCTGACATGGTCCGTCATGGGGAAAGTTGGCATAGTGGCTTTAATCAGGAGTTTCTGCATCATGTTCCCACCCATCTTCCTCCTCAAGCGGCTGCCCTACTGCGGGCACAACGTCATGCCCCACACCTACTGCGAGCACATCGGCATGGCCCGCCTGGCGTGCGCCGACATCTCCATCAACATCTGGTATGGGGTAGCTTCTGGCTTCCTTTCAGCCGGCTTGGATGCCATCTCCATCACCATCTCCTACGTGCTGATCTTCAGGTGCCTCTGGGGGCTGCTGTCCTGGCGCGCCTCCCCCAAGGCTCTGCACACCTGCGGCTCCCATGTTTTACACGCCATGTTCATCGCCATGTTTTACACGCCAGCCTTCTTCTCCTTTCTAGCACACTGGTTTGGCCAGCATGTTCCTCAGCATGTCCTTGCCTCCTTCGCCAACCTCTACGTCGTGGTGCCGCCCATGCTCAACCCCATCATCTACGGGGTGAGAACAAGGCAGATCCGGGAGCAAGTGGCTCACTTGCTCAGGCTGGGGGGCTGGGGCGGCCGGGCATAGCTGGGCAGGCGGGAACAGGCAACCGAGCTGGTCTACGGGCAAGAGGGGTGAAACAAAGCTTTAAAAAAGAGGGAAATGAATGAAAGACAGCAGGGACCTGGTAAAGATGGACCAGATGGGAATGTTTTCAAAAGAAGTACGTTCAGCAGACATCAGCATCCAAGCCATAGCTCTGTTGCAGAGAGGCAGGGCAGTTTCCCAGAGGTACAGATGGGAAACAACTCACGGGGACGGTAGGAGCCAGGCACTGGGGACTACCACTGTCCCCATGGTCCTGGGATCCCGGGTACTGCCCCAAACCCACCACTGCCACGTATTTGTACAGCCAAGGCCTTTGTAAGCAAAATACAGTTTCTGACTTCCTGAGGTGCTGTTGAGGATCTTACGAAACAGAAAACATTAAAGTACATATAATATGTGTGCCTGTTAAGGCAGTATGGAGATGTCTCTGCTTGAGCTGGGCATCGTCTCTGTGGGATGGGACCAGGCATGGCTGGGGCAGTGATGGTCCCTGAAGGCACTCAGGGCTGGGAGCACCCGCTGGGTCTCCTCTCTCCTGATGCCCTCTCAGAAGGCTGCAAGGACACCGAGATGGTGGGAACACCACTCCTCTGCCCTGCTCGGCCATTTGCACCAGAGCCGGCTGCCATCTGGGCAGAGGACCCTGAGCTGGGCAGGAGTGTGCATCTGCTGGGGGGAGGAGGGCTCTGCAGAGGGACCTGGCCAGGCTGGAGCCATGGGCCCAGCCCAGTTGGGTGAGGGTCAACAAGGCCAAGGGCCGGGTCCTGCCCTGGGGTCACCACAACCCCACGCAACGCTCCAGGCGTGGGGCAGAGGGGCTGGAAAGCTGCCCGGCGGAAAAGGCCCTGGGGGGGTTGGTCGAGAGGGGGCTGGATAGGAGCCAGCAGGGTGCCCAGGTGGCCAAGAGGGCCAGCAGCATCCTGGCTTGTCTCAGGGCTGGTGTGGCCAGCAGGAGCAGGGCAGGGAGCGTGCCCCTGTGCTGGGCACTGGGGGGGCCGCCCCTCGAGTGCTGGGGTCAGGGTTGGGCCCCTCCCTCCCCGAAGGAGCTGGGGGGGCTGGAGCGTGTCCAGAGAAGGGCAGCGGAGCTGGGGAGGGGTCTGGAGCCCCAGGCTGCTGGGGAGCGGCTGGGGGAGCTGGGGGGGTTCAGCCTGGAGCAGAGGAGGCTGAGGGGAGCCCTCATCGCTGCCTACAAGTGCCTGAGAGGAGGGGGGAGCCGGGGGGGTCGGGCTCTGCTCCCAGGGAAGGGGCGATGGGACGAGGGGCACCGGCCTCAAGTTGTGCCAGGGCAGGGTGAGGTTGGACATCGGGAACAACCTGCTGCTCGCCTGAGGGATCTGGACCTCGGGTGGATGGAGCAACCAGGCAGCCTGGTGGTACCTGGTGGCCAGAGCAGGGGTATGACGCCAGGGTCATCCATAGCATGGGCCCCTCTGGTAGGCTTTGGGACTGGTCTGCTGGCCCCCACAGATGGCCTGCGGGTCTGTGTCCCCCCGTTCCCGATGTCGCACCCCAATGAACGGGCAGTTTTACTAGGGGGTGCCTCCTCTCTGCCCTGTTTTCAAGAAAAAGGGCCCTCTTTTGGGTCTGAGGGGAGGGCAGAGGTGTCCTCTTGGAGCCTGACTGTGCCTGGGCAGGGTGGGGATGGAGACCGTCCCTGTCCTCGGGACTCCTCGTCTGCCTTGGCACCATCACCTGAGGCAGTGTTCCTGGTGCATCCCTGCTGACTGAATTTTGCTGACTTTTACAGACACCTCCAGCACCCCCAAGGTCTCAGGCGCACCTCAAATTTCTTTATATTGTGGTGCACATCTGAGGCCAGATTTTGCCTGGGAACATTTCCATTCATGTTTTTAACTGCAGGTTCATCCCATCCGTGGTGTTTGGGAACCAGACTCAGGCAAGTGGACATCAGCAGGTCTGGATAGTGTGTGCTGAGGGGTCCAGAGGAGCCCCTGGAGGAGCCACCAGGCCTGCAAGTCTTCCTCAAGCACCCCCAGGCTTAGAAAAACTGGCGGGAAAAAAAGAAAAAAGAAGGACAGGAACCCTGTCTGACATGTGCTGATATTAAAAAGGAGAAATGGGATTATTGGAGAAATTCGAAACTGCTGAGTTTGGCATCATTAGCTCAAAATAAAATAATGGAAAAGTGAACATGAGACTTGATCAATAAAGTGCAAAAAGGGCAAGAGTGCAATTAATAGTGATCAGCGCTTATTGCTGGCAGCCAGCTTCCGTGGAATCACGTCATCTCGCTCTCTGATGGCTTCCACAGCTGGGTGATAAAGTTACTGGAAGGCTGAATACAACTGTGAGTGTTTGTTTTCCCAACTTGGTGATAAATACCTCGCTATAACAACCAACCAACCAACCAAGTAACCAACCAACAGGTAGAGCAGACGTTACAGAGCCTGGCTAACTGCAGAGTCTTATTTCAGCCACAGCTCCCCCCTCCGAGCTGGGTTTCCATACATTTCCAGGGACATTCAGCGGGGATTGATTGGATGACGGGGCTGGTGCTGTATCTGATGGTTATCAGTTGTGTAGAAGCGAGTATAAAATCATTGTTAATAAGGTTTTTAGATGATGCAAAGACAGCTAATTTAATAGAGGTGAATGCAAAGTCATACTCCTAAGGAGGAGGGGTGCTGGCTGTGCCCGGGGCTACAGTCCCAGCGGAGGGGGCTCCAGAGAAGCTCAGGCATCCGAGGGAAGGGGCCATAGATCTTGGGCAGATGCGGTGCTCAGGGACAGGGTTTGGGGGTGGGATGGCAGGGTTAGGGCAATGGTTGGGCTGGGGGACCTTAAAGGGCTTTTCCAACCCAAATGGTCCCATGATTCTATGACTTGGTGGGGGCACTTTGGGTGATGCTTGGCCAACAGGCCACTGTGACAGTCCTGGTGTGCTCCCGTAGCTGAGCAGGGGAGGTGGTGGGTAGTGCGGGTCCATGATTCCCTCAGCGCATCCTCAAATACCGCACCCAGGTGAAGTACGCATGGGTGCAACTGGGCTGTCCTGCCTGGACGTCACCATGCATGTCCGGCGTGGTGTCGCGATGGCTGTTTCTGTGACAGGCATGGATGCTGCACTCATTGCTGCCTCTCACCTGCTGGTCCCCCAGTCCATCTTCCAGCTCCCATCCAAAGACACCTGGCTGGAGGCTCTGAGCACCCATGGCTCTCATCTTTTGGCCGTATTGCGGCGCTTCATGCTAGCTTTCCCCTCCTTTCTGCACGCTGTGTTGGGCACTGTGTTCCCAGGTCTGCTCCTATCATGGGGGCCAATCTCTGTGTGCTTCACCCCCCCGTGTTAAACCCCATCACTTATGGAGGGACAAACAAACAGATTCAGAGGTGTGCGGTCCGGGTGCTTCACCAGTGCCACGGCCGTGGTTGCGCAGGCGCCCTGCTGAGCCCAGCAGGCAGACAAACACCTCCTGGGACCCGGGCACCACGGTTATATTTTCCCTTTGAATACATTGAGAAGTGTTATCCTAGAAGCGACAGCTCCTGCTGGCCTGGGGGGGCTGGCGGGAGGTGAGATGGTGCAGCGGGATGGACCACACGCAGGCGTCGTTGCCCAGTGTCCAGCTGGCCGTGTGAGCTGAATGCCCAATGCCATGGCCAAAGCCCAGAGCCTGTGCCCTGGGCTGGACTGGGGGCTGTCAGCCTCACACCGCCTTGCTGGTTGATGGCTCCCTTGCTCCGCTTCCTCAGAGCTCATCTGAGACCCTGATACCCTGCCCAGCCTGCTGCAGAGCCCTGGGGGTGCGGCAGAGCTGTGCAGGGCTGGTCACGC